CCCCAAAACCCCAAAACCCCAAAACCCCGGCATAATAAGATTTAAAAAATTAAAGTATTTAAATAAGAATAATTCTTTGGAATAGTTTAAAATTTATTAATGGGTTGTAATCTTTGCACACAGCTTGATCCCAATTTACCAGACTCTCCTTCCAATATGAAAAAAATAAAAAGAGCATCCAACAAGAAAAAATAAAGGAGAATGAGCAATTAAGTATACAGCGAAAACCCAGACAGCAATCCATTTGATTAAGAGAATTCCACATTATCTTCTAATGACGATAGTGAAGATTAAATGGATGAAATTTATCTCAGCAAGTTATAACTTCAAAAAGAATCTAAATTACTCTTCCACGAGCATTTTAATTTATCAGACTGTAAATTCTCTTCCTTCTCCTAGAAGAGGTTCATTGGTTTTAGGAAACACTTTGAATTTGATGCTAAAAGGCTTGTTATTGCTAACTAATTTAGAATCAAAGTGCTATCAATCAAGTAAACAAACATGAAAAATCAATTTAAAAAATCTAATGATAAAAATTCAACTTATAAATAATCATATCTAAGTTAGGGAGGAGCATTATTCTGCTGCTAAAATAATGAGAACGACTTTTTCACTTCCTCTTCCTTGAATGTTACTGACTATCAAAATTTGAGTTCAAGCAGAGACAGAAAGCTTAGATTAGATACTTCAAGTGGCAATGATAACATAAAATAAATATGTGAATGGCAAATTCCACATAAAGACTCCAAGGAAGAGATTATTTTTGCAGGTTTTCTAGAAGATATTAATCCCGATTTTATCCTTGTAGTCACCAAAAATATTGAAAAACCCTAATCTAGATTTTACATTTTGAGAATAGATTAAAAGTTAGGGGATATATAATAATCAAATCAGATTCTTAATTTGGATGATAGCTATAACAAAGATAATATTGACGATTTCATTGAGAATGGCTTAGACTCTCCATAATATAGTGACGATGATGAAATAGCTCTCAAAGATAGATTGAAATAATAATTAATCAATAATAAGAAAGACTTCAGAATGATGAAGAGCACCCATGATGAGAACTTCAATGTGGAGATCAATCAAAATAAACTACCTTAAATTTTTGAAGGCGATAATGAGATATCACTTAAATATGATTATATTACTGACATTATCAATTAAGAAAAGGGAATTAATCAATAAAAAAAGACTTTTAATTCTCAAAATAATAATTAGAACGGAGGTAAATCATCTGACTAAGAGTCTAACGAAGTATCTCCAAGTAAACTCTATCTCTCTAAGTCTATATGCCTATAGAAAGCAAAGAGATTTCTCATCAATACAGTAAAAGTATTCGATTACAATCATCTAATTTTTGAGAAAGTTTTCTTCAGCAATAATAATATCTATGGAAAGATTATGTTTACTGTAGATTAGCATCACAAGATGAGAGTGCATCTATTCAAAGATTTGGAAGAGTAAAAAGGGTTTGGAAAAGATTATGAGGATGATTTCACAAATTCCGACCATTTAAAGAATATTAAAATTAAAGAAGATTTTATTTAAAGCAGATGCTTGACTCTTAAATATGAAAATAATGCAACCATTCGAGAGAACGATGGTCCTTTTCTACAAAATGGATAAAGTGATAATAATTTTACAAAACTGGCAAAACTTGAGATTAAAAGGATAGATTGTTTTGCAGATTTCATATTTGTAATTTATTAAGACAGGTTATTCTTTGATATCTTTAAAAAGTCAGGTACTTTGGTAGAGAGGAAATATATTTGCAGTGGGCCAAATGTAAAAATTGACATTCTTCAGATTGATAGAGCCATATTGCCTAGATTAGAGTGGTCTGATAGATATGTTGATATAATTCAATAGAGCAATAATGAACTCGGGAAAAAATTTATAGTTTCTGGAATGGCAAGCTAGAATAACAGAAGATAGTTGATTCAGACGATTCAAAATAAAAATAAAGCAACTTTAAAAGAAAAATCATGGGCTGAATAATCCTTTGGGGCAAAATCATTTAAGTGCTTAACTCCAAAATTTGAAGATAAAGGATTTATGTTCGGAGATGAAGAAACGTTTCAAGGGAACTCTTCAAGTCTTTATTGCAGACCATTTATTATGATTTATGATAGAATAAAGAACCAACCCCTCATCATTAAATTAATCTAATCAAACTCAAAAATAACTTAATTGAAGTATGGTCCTTATGATAATGGCCATATCATAGCAGGACTTTCAAATGGAATAATTTTAGCTTTCAGCTAATCTGATTTAACGAAACTTTATCAATATAAGTTGTATACAAGTTAAATTTCTGAGATAACATTTGACCCATCAAACTATCTTATAGCAACTTCACATCATGGTGAGGTAGCTGCCATCAGTTTAATTGAAAATAAGGTTAAATATGTGTACTTAGAGTTAGATTAAAAGAAGTATTGCACAGTTTAGATGCCCTTGCTCAAAGCAAAAGGTAAACAACACCATAATACTTAATCCTAATCAAACATAACTAGATTAAACTTGCCAAAACAAGAGTTCATTGAAAATCTCTTTGAAAAATCCTGAATTATATTAAGCCTTATATTAAATCATCTAATAATCATGATCTTACCATAACTATCTTTATGGGGTTTTGGGGTTTTGGGGTTTTGGGG